TAGAGGGCGACCGAGAAAGACCTGGATAGATGGAGTCAGGGAAACACTAACAACTCATGGCATCCCTCTGACTTAAGCTCTCCGGCTGATGGCAGAGAGACCTCTCTTTCTTCCCGCGACACCCAAAGGGTATAAGCGGCGGATAAAAGCATGTAATGTAAAGGTATTCTTTGCGTGTATATTTTTTGTGTTTCATTATGTATTTAACAGCTGGGCCCCCTTTCGATGAAATAATGATCGGTGCATTAACAAAACCTGAAAGTCATCGGCCTACTATATTTTCATTCTACTGGAATGGAGCAATAAATCATGAAAGATGAAAAAAAATGGAAGGTTTAGATATATACCGATTATCATAATGTATAGATTGATTCTCTATTCCGCTTTCGTGGTTGTACACTTTAGAATTTCAAAGGTGTGGAAACATTGCGCACGGCTAGTGAACGGAAACCTCAATTGTTTACAATGGCATCTTAGAAGACGGACTTTCTCAAGATTAGATCTAAACAAAACTAATGAAAAACTGAAAATTAAACTACAGTGACTTCGGGCTTCTCAATAAAACTGTGCACCCTTTGAATGATTCTGAATCACCATTAATTTTATCAAATTCGAAAATTAAGTGGTTCGGAAGTTTTAGGCGGCTAAAGTGACGGACGTTCACAAATATAATATGTATGGATGTCTGTTTTCCATTGTAACCCAACATTTCCCTTGCCAGGAGTAGTTATAGTGCAATTTCTTAATGTAGGCATTTTTACGTTATATATCTCATCATCCGGTGCCTTGCCGACTGGCGTGGGCGATCATGGACCTCCACTTCCATCTGTCTTTCGATGCAGCAATGGTGTCTGTTGTTCTTGCTGCTCCCAGCCATGTTGTCATCTTGTCCAGTATCTTTTCCCTCTGTTATATATCTAGCCACAGGTAATTACCCAAACCCTTCCAGACAAATATCGCTACCCCTAGAATTATACAGATCTATCTTTTCAGTACCTAGTTTTGTGGAATTTGACTTTAAAAATTGTGAGTTTCAAAACATGTCAAGCTTTTTAAAAATACAATTCTTTGAATATCTTGATAACGACTCCGAATAATCTTAAGATTTTGATAGAGCAGATAGAGTATTTGGTTTCTGACCTCATGGTCTTAGTAAATTAAACGGCCAAAAACGTCAGTTAGGACTTTGTAGTAATTGGTAGCTTTTAAGGACAAGCGGACTAACCCAGATTTCGGGGGGGGG